GAGTCACAGTCTCCCTGTAGCCCCAGCTGTCCTGGAACTCACTATGTAGACCAGGCTGGCCTTGAACTCACAGAGATCCGCCTGCCTCTGCCTCTGCCTCCTGAGTGCTGGGATTAAAGGCGTGTGCCACCACGCCTGGCCCCGATATATTACTGTTTCTTTAGCCAGCCCTCATGTTTTGGATAATCTATTTTCAGGAATTTACTATTACAAACTGTGCTTTCTTTTCATTTATTCCCTTAAACAGCAAACAACCTAGGGCACTTCAGAAGTGGGCATCTTCTCAATCTGCATCTAGAAATAGCCCCAGATATTTCTGTTTAGTTGTTCCCTTACTGAATGAAGCTTAGGATATGTGAGACCTTGAAAACTCTATAGGAGAAAAAAACGAACTGCGAAAGAAACTCATGGCGGTTAGTAGCTTCCTGAGCTTCAAAAATGCAGGGCTTTTTCTATTAGCATAAAGAAGTTTGATTTTTTTTTTCTTTTTTTTGAGAGCTGACAATTTGTGGCCAGCAGGGAGCAGCACATCCTCACAGACAGTCTGCCTGGGACTCCATCAGCCGATTCTACATGATCCAGCAGGGACTTGGGACGCCATCAACCCGCTTCCTTACCTTTCATGTTTGCAGCTGGCTGGAGTGGGGACCAAGCTTGTCTAGAAGACTAAGGTAAATTGTGTGCCAGCAAAGTACATAGTAATGTAGAATTATGAAGGAAAAGTATTGTAAGCATACGTATCATTAGATATTCAAATTCCCTTCTATCATGTGATTATTCCAGCCACTGTTTGTGCAATAAAGCACAGAAAATACTTTATTTGTTGGATAAATACCTTATTCCATAGCCATTTTGCTGAAAACTGCTAAAAATGTCAATTTAATCTCTATATCCTGTATCCCCCTAAAATAAAGTTTGTTATTTTACCTTAAAATGCAAATTCACCTGCTTCCTTAATATTAGTCAATTTGATCATTCAATATTGAGTGCTAGGTGCAGAGGTTGTGAGGACAGGATTAGTCTCATCTCACCCCTTCCTGACCCCCACCCCATACTGGGGATTGCCACTTGCTAGGCAAACTGTTTATGTTGAGCTATCCCCAGCCCTTTACCACCTTCTATTTTGCCAGACTAGTCTTGAACTCACAAACCTCCCTGCCTCACTTCAGCCTCCTTTTTTTTTTTTTTTTTTCAAGGCTGGGGATTGCATCCATGGCTTTGCACATGCTGGGCAAGTGTTTTACCACTGAACTACATTCTCAGCCCTGGTCTCTGAGTCAGGAAACTTTGCAGCTTTAGGGCTGGCATCATAACTAACTAAGTAGCTGTGGATAAGTTACTTTAACTTCTCTGTGTCCCAGAAATAAAAATGATACGAGTGCCCTCTGCCCGAATGACCTCATAGATGCACAAATGAAAGGGCATTCATGGGCTGGTGGGATGAAAAACACTACACATGAGCTGGTGTAATGGCTCTGTGGGTAAAGGTGCTTACCGCCAATCCTAATGACCTGAATTTGATTCCTTGAGTCCACAGGATGGAAGGAGAGAACCGACTCCCCAAAATTTTCTTCTGATCTCCACATGCCCGCTGTGACATACATATGCACCCCCCCCACTAAATAAATCTAAAAGGTGAAAGACTTATACTACCTAAAGAGCCAGAGTATAAAATAAATAAATGTAAAGAACCACACACACAAAAAGAAATGCTACTTGTGAAGTATACTTGATAAAAAAAAGGAGCGTTATATGCATGAAAAATTTAAAAAGCCTTAGTATAATGTCCATGGAAAAAGAAGTAGCAGCCTAGTACAACCTTCTATGGGCAAGTACTATGCTAAACAGGCATAATGGTCTATGCACACCCCTGCACATAGGTACTGTTAGGTTCAATTTAGAGATGAGGGACTCTAGGAGTTGGGTGGCTGGGAAGCTCATCCAAAGTCAGGCTCGTAGGAACTAGTGGAGCAGGATTTAAATCCAGGTTGGACTCAGAGTCTCCTGAGTCTCAGTCTGGTTCTTCAGCACACCTCTCAGTTCTGTACTTTGGAATTATATGTATTGCCTTCAAATGTTACTCAGAAGGGACTAACATCAAAATGTTAGGTCATAGAGCTGTAATCCCAGCACTAGGGAGTTTGAAGCAGGAGGGCTCAGAATTTGAGGGCAGCCTGAGCTGTTTGAGACCAGTGACTGTCTCAGCAACAGCAACAACAAAAGGTACTTCAGATATAGCCTCATGAAAAATATGAAACTTGACTCAATGTATGAGATTAATAAATTTCAAAATTATTCCATGCAATATTTTCTGTATAAAATGTAACTTGGACGTCTTAAGACAGACTGAAGTTACTGGTAAGATTTTTCTTTAGTGTTATAGCATGAGTTGTCACTGGTGAAGGCCAAAGCAAACCATGGAAAACTAGAAGAGGAAGAAGGATAGAAAGATTCACAAAGAAAAATCCCAAAGGAGACCTTCCAGAAGGCAACTTAGATTTTTTACTTTATGGGAAGTAGGTTAGAATGGGTAAATTGAAATTCTCCACTGGAATGGGGTACAGAATGGATAAAGTCTTGGGTGACACAATAAAGTTCCAGGGGGAACATCTTGGCAGACGGGAAAGGACACCTTTCTCTGTGAATTTTGCAACCCTTTTAGCTGATGAGATGGCTCACAAAATGTAGCTCCTTCATGCCTCACCAATTTTGGCTATTATATCCAGCTGGATATTTCTTTCGTGAATCACACAGCTGCAGAGAGGATACTTTCCTGCTCCTGCTACCTTCAATGAAAGAGCAAACATCAAGAGAGCTACACTAAGAGGTAGGCACTGTTCTAACTCTTATGTACAATAATTCTTTGTTGTTTGTTTAAAAATGTTTATTATTTTTATTTTATGTGTAATTGCACCCATGTCACGCAACGCCTGTGGAGATCAGAAGAGGGCATTGAATCCCCTGGAATTGGAGTTACGGTTGTTAGCCACCATTTGAGTCCTATTCAAGAACAGCCAATGCTTTTATCTACTGGGCTATCTCTCCAGCACCCCCCCCCCTTTTTTTTTGTCTTTTTGAGACAGGGTCTCCTTATAGCCCCCAGCTGTCCTGGAACTCACTATATATACGTAGACCAGGCTGGCCTTGAACTCACAAAGATCCACCTGCCTCTGGCTCCCAAGTGCTGGGATTAAAGGCATGTGCCACCACACCCAGCCTCAGCCCTTTGTTTTTGAGACAGGGTTGTGCTATGTAGTGCTGGCTGGCCCAGAACTTCCTATGTAGACCAGGAACTTGCAGTGATTTGCCTGCCTCTGCCTTCTGAATGCTGGAATTATAGGCATGCACTGCAACACCTGGTATACAATGATTCTCTTTTCTTTTTTCTTTCCTTAAAATATTTTTTATGTGAATGAGTATTGCCTGCATGTATGAGTGCACCGGTGTCCTGTAGAGGTCAGAAGAGGGTGTTAAATCTCCTGGAGCTGGAGTTCCGGACAGTTGTTAGCTAGGCCCATGTGGGTGCTGGGAATTGAACCTGGGTCCTCTGCAAGAGCAGCCAGTGCTCTTAACCACAGAGCCATCTCTCCAGCCCCCACAATGATTCTTTTTTATTTTCTATTTTTGATCTTTTTGAGACAAGGTCTCCCTGTAGCCCCAGCTGACCTGGAACTCACTATGTAGACTAGGCTGGCCTTGAACTTAGCCTCTGACTCCCAAGTGCTGGGATTAAAGGCCTGTGCTACCACATCCAGTCCGGCCCCCACAATGATTCTTTAATAACTCATTAATTATGGCATTGTTATTGCCATTTTACAGATAAAGAAGCTGAAGCTTTCTGCCTGAAGTAAAATCTCACAGGCAGCATTTTAGCTGAGACAGCCTGCCTAGAGGCTGTATTCTTAGCATTCCATTAGCACATTTCCTTAAGTCAATACTGAAAATGAAGAGGAAGAGGAAATAAAGGGGAGGAGGGGCAAGAGTGGAGAGCACAGGGGAAGGGTAGAAACAAAAATGATGAAATAAATGGAACCTATGAATGCCACCAGTTAGTTCAACAAGTGATTCTAGGGCACTGCTGTAGCACGGCCCTCGGGATTAGTCAGTAGTCCTTTCGCCATCCTGGGAGAGGGGTGCAGAATCTGGCACAGAGCAACATTTCTATACAGTGTGGTAACTGTTAAACAGGAAAGTCCACCGGTGCTGGACAGAAATTCCTGTGTTCCCAAGCACATCCCAAATAGTGGAAAGTTACTGAGCAACAGGGGCTGACCATTTAAGGCTCAGGCTAATGCAGTCACAGACTAATGAGTGGATTTCATCGTCGGTTTGCTCCCGTAAAACTAACCTTGTTTTTACGAGACAGTTCTGCAAAAAGTGAAATTTAAACAAATTTGCACCGTTACCAGGTTTGGTCTGTTTTACTTTTAAAGTCTGTAAAACACTTGGACTAAACTTTAAATCGAACGGACTAAGACTTGCAATGAAAATTTAAAGCTATTCTACCACTAAATTATTTTAACTTTAGCTTTTAAGTTTTCACAATAAAAGGGTTGAAAGAAATAGTCCATTAAAATCTGCAGGGTGCTGACTAATCTTTTTGCGTTATCATATTATCATGAAAAAGTAAATTGCTTTATCCTAAAGCTTTTGCTCTTTAAACGAATGATGAGCAAGTGCCTCGCAACAGAGACCGAAGAAGTCTGTCCCGAGGAAATCTAAAGCGCCAGCAAGAGCTGGTGGGACCTCCCGGTGGATTACTGCTGCAGAGTACTATCCTGCCGGGGGGATGGGGGGGGGTGGGGTTGGGGGGCTGGATATTCCTAGGATGGGAGGGCTCTCCTATCCGGGTCCATCTGCATCGGCCGGCTGGATCGCGTGGGACCAAAGCTCAGTCCCCTGCGTTGTCCCACCGCGTAGCGGCGCCCATCGGGCGGCTCCCCAGCTCCGGGAGGATTCCGGTCGGGTCTCCCCCAACGCACCCCCGCCCGCCCACTCCCCGAGAGTCGCTCAAGACCGGGGCGATCCCAACAAAGCGAGGGCCTCGGGAAGGGGCGGCCGCGAGCCGAGCACACACGGCTCCAGGCCGGACAGACGCGGCCCCATCGCCCACTGGGGCGGCGCCCCCTCTCAGGGACCTGCCTAGCCTTAGGTCCCCCTTTCTGCAGGCGGGTAAGAAACTCAGCCTGGGGTCGGGCACATCCACCCCGCACCGCGCCCGAGGCTCCGACTTTTCTTTTCAGGGGGTAAGATGGCAGGGCCGGGGGAACAAGGGGAACAAAGGAAATTTGGGTCGCCAAGCGGCTTGTGTAGCTCGCGTGCGAGCCTCGAGGCCCGCGTGGGAGTCGCCCCACGCCTGTGCTAGCCCTAGCGCAGCCCGCTCCGGGCAACCCAAGCCCGCGGCGCCCGCCCACCTGCCGCGCCGGCCACCC